ACGCAGAATAAGAGAAAAATCGTTTTAAAAGGGTATACATGTATACAGTCAACTCCAATAACTCGAACCCTCGCTACTGACTCGAACCTCGTGCTAACTCGAAGTAGTACTAATTTTTGTTTCTCTTCAGAACATTTCTATATAATTTTACCCTCATTAACTAGAACCATGTTTTAAGCGCGTGACAAGTAAAAGAACTGACTTACCGTAATGATTCGATTTAGCGCCCAGGCGATTATTTACTTTTGGTGCCTCTAGGGAGGACGCTTATTCGGGACAGGACGCTTATTTCTTTTTTGAGAAACAACCAAATGTTAAAAAAAGAACTTTGAAATTCATTTAAAAACGAACAACATTTGAAACTGTAGCAGTAACTAATACTGACGGTGAATGCTCAGTTAACGCGAGGGACTTGCCTTGAAACTTGTGGGGCACTTTTGTCCCTGGATCCTTCCTCGCCAGAACGACCAGCCGAGCAATCTCCACAAAATTTGAAGAAGAGATCATTCCTTTGAAGACTCTGGAAAATCTAAAGCAAGCGACCGGACAAATTTAGGCACAGGTGCGGCCCCCATTAATTGGTAGTACAATCCTGTCACGCTTAAGTTTACAATTCTTTTTTTTTAGAACAGCTGTTTTAAGAAAGTTATCCGACATTAGATTCCCGTGATGCCGGACCCTTCACCCGTCAAGATGGCTTTCAAAACCGTCATAAGGTCTATAATCTGGCTTAAGGCAGTACGAAAATTGAATTTTTAATATTGCCTCTGCTTTTTCTTCAGTCCAGTTCAAATCAAATACAGAATATTCTGTAAATTCCGTGTTTTAGAGTATTACGTATATTCCGTATTTTACAACTGATTGCATGTATTCCGCCATTCCGCCGAATAGGGTCACCCAAATATTGGGGAGGACATCATAAAAAAATATAGGAGACCGGTAGGACTTTTAAATCGATGAAAGTGCCTCACTCATTTTGCAACTTCATTTTATAATATGCTTCATAATTTGTTTCCACAATAATATTTATGATATTTAGATGATAACCAATGCACAACGCACTACTTGTCACATTACCGATTGGACAGCATACCATGCACTCAAACTCTTGCGCAGGAAAGTTACAGAATGAAATTATTTTTTGCTGCACTCAGTCACATTCCTTTACACTGAAACCTTGGCTAAAAGGTCTCTTTTTAGATCTGTAGATTTGTGAGGTATTTCGAAATACCCGCACATGTCTTTCAACACTAACATTGAAAGATGAAAGTTTGTTGCTGTGATAATTATGACAAAGATTGTAAACTTCAAATATAATTGGATGTTTTAAGCCCAAATATTCTATCACCTCTTCAACAGCATGGAGGGGGAAATGGGGGCTTACGGTATTGAGCTTTTTTTCAAGCGGTATTTCGGTAATTTGGATTTTAAAGTGGGGTATTGCGGTATTATCATTTAGCCCTGCGGTATGCGGTATTTCTTCTTTTTGGTTAACGGTCTTCGGTAAAAGAAGATCACGGTATTGCGGTACTGTTCATTGCCCTCTCCTGTTTAATGCTAGCCTGCGTAGCAGGCGTTTGGATCACCCCTCGCGTGTCTCCCTCACGCGCGCCCGTTTTCTCTCGAGCCCACTACTTCCAAGCGCCTGCTACGCAGGCTAGTTTAATGCACGTCAGTATTTTTAAGACTTTAGATTAATGGTAAATGATTACCATTACACAATTTCTGACAGATAATCTGTGATGAAATTGGTAGGGTATCTTTTTCGTTCGCAAAATTAAACAGGAGCCCATCAATGATGGGCTCCTGAATTAAATTAAATTGATTAAATACCGCAATACCGTGAGAAAAATTGGTAAACACCGAAATACCGTGTCAAAAATCGACGAAATACCGATACTGCATTTATTTTCGATATTGGGTACCTACCAATGTGCCCTAGCATGGCGTTGCTCTCCAACTTCGTCACCTTTGGTAGGTACTTCATATATGATCATTATTATGTACCTAAACATAGTTATTATATCTTACTATATATTATTATTATTACGCTATAAACACCTATACCCCTATACAACACCATATACCCCTATATACCCCTATTACACACCATATACCCCTGTACAACACTATATGCCCCTATATACCCCTATACAATACCATATATCCCTTATATGCCCTATACAACACCATATACCCCTATACAACGCCATATACCCCTATGCCTATACAACACCATATATACCCCTATATACCCCTATACAACACTATATAATTATATGCCCCTTTTATACAACACTATATATTTATAATTATATATAATTATATACACTTTATATATCACTATATCACCATATATATATTTTATATAACAATTATATACCCTATATATTTATATACAACACTATATACTTTTATGCCTTTTATACAACATTATATGCCTTTATATACCCCTATATACCTTTATATGCCCCTATATAACACTATATACTCCTATATACCCTATACAATAATTATATACCCTTTATATGCTTTTTATACAATAATTATATAACCCCTTTATATACCCCCTATACAACAATTATATACCCCTTTATATAATTTATACAACACTATATACTCCTATATACTTTATATATACACCATATATATTTTTATATGCCCTTTATATAACACTATATACTTTTATACAACACTATATGCCCCTATATACCTTTTATATACTATACATCACTATATACCCCTTTATATACCCCTTTATACAATAATTATATATTTTATATACCTTTATACAACACTATATACCCTTATATACCTATACAATAATTATATACCCCTTTATATACCCTTTACAACAATTATATACCCTTTATATACCCTATACAACACTATATACCTTTATATACCCCTTTATTATATAATTATATACCCTTTATACAACACTATATGTCCTTTACATACCTTTATACATCACTATACCTTTATATACTTTATATAACATTATATACCTTATATACCCCTTTATACAACAATTATATACCTTTATATACTTTATACAAATAATTATATATACTTTATATACCCTATAAACATTATATACCCCCTATATACCCTTTATACAACACCATATATTATATGCCTTTATACAACTTTATATACCCCTATACAACACTATATGCCCCTATATACCCCTATACAACACCATATACCCCTATATACCCCTATACATCACCATTTACCCTTTATACCCCTATACAACATTATATATGCCCTATATACCCCTATACAATACCATATGCCCCTATATACCCCTATACAACACCATATGCCCCCATATGCCCTATACATCACCATAGACCCTATACATCTCCATACACCTCCATACATAACCATACACCCTTATACATCACCATACATCCCTATACATTCCCATACACTACTATACATCACCATACACCCTATACATCACCATACACCCGTATACATCACCATACATCCCTATACATTATACACACCTCCATACATAACCATACACCCTTATTCATCACCATACATCCCTATACATTACCATACACTACTATACATCACCATACACGCCTACACATCACCATACATCCCTATACATCACCATACACCCCTATACATCACCATACATCCCTATACATTACCATACACCACCCATACATAACCATACACTCCTATACATCCCCATACACCCCTATACATCACCATACATCCCCATACATAACCATACACCCCTACAAATCACCAAACATCCCTAGATATCACCATACACCCCCATACATCACCATACTCCCCTATACATCACCATACATCCATATACCTCACCGTACACCCCCATACACCGCTATACATCACCATACACCCCCATACATAACCATACACCCCTATACAGCACCATACACCCACATACAACACCATATATTCCTATACATCTCCATACACCCCTATACATCACCATAGCCCTCCATACATAACCATACACCCTTATACACCCTTATACATCACCATACATCCCTATACATTCCCATACACTACTGTACATCATCATACACCCCGACACATCACCATACATCCCTATACATCACCATACACCCCTATACATCACCATACACCTCTATATATCACCATACATCCCTATACATCACCATACACCCTCATACATAACCATACACCCCTATACATCACCATACACCCCTATACATCTCCATATACCTCCATACATAACCATACACCCTTATACATCACCATACATCCCTATACATCACCATACACCTCTATACATCACCATACATCACCATACACCCCTATAAATCACCATACACCTCCATACACAACCATACACCCCTATACATCACCATACAGCTCCGTACGTAACCATACACCCCTATACAACACCATATATTCCTATACATCCCCATACACCCCTATAAATCACCATACTCCCCTACACAGTTTTCTCACCAGGCCGCGGCCTTGCGGGATTCCCGCAAGAAAAACTGAAATGGCGCATTAAAACGAAGAAGATGCGCCCGTTTGGGCGCAGGGGCAATTGTTTGAATAAATAAAAGACATGATATCAAATGAGTCAAAGTCTTTCATTTTGTTGCCTTTACTTTCATTGCTCCCACGCACGTCCCACTACATCGTAAACTCCTCCTCCGAATCGTAAACACCTCTTCCGCCATATTGGATCAGGTAGGTACTTCATGTAACAGACAATTTGGAGTGCGGGCTCAGGTTCTTCGTACCGCGTGTTTTTTGTAACTTTGTCCCCCTAATGTTCTTACAGGGCCCCTATATCTCAGAAGAGGGGGCCCTGGGACTCCCCAAGGCAAAATCCTGGTGAGAACACTGCCTACACATTCCCATACACTCCTATACATCACTATACACCACTATACATCACCATACACCCCTATACATCACCATACACCTCCATACATAACCATACACCCCAATACATCACCATACTCCCCTATACATAACCATACACTCCATACATAACCATACACCCCTATACATCACCATACACCTCTGTACGCGAAGTTCTTGGAAGGATTAACGTATGGGTTTTGAATAACAGTATCTATTCCCCGGGGGGGGGGGGTACTCCCATATATGGGCTATATAGGTACGTGCCGCGCAATAGAGTATGGTTTTTGAAGTTCTCGGTCCTTAAATAGGGTATCTTTCTTGACCCTTTTGTTTCTGTGTCCCTGGTGTGGTCCTTAGATAGGGTAGGTTAATTGCATTAACTAATACTGGAGTGGGAAAATGCGCGCCTAAACGAACGGTTTTGATTTTGCAACAGAGGATTAATAGACGTTAAGCGGGTAAATACACGTAACGCCTATTCAAGCCACATGTTTGTTTTTTCCTTGAATAGGGTGTCATTTTTCGGCTTTGGGCCTTAAAAAGGGTACCAGCTTTCTTAGCTTTTTATTGGATAATACCCGACCCGCGATGCCAAACAAAAACAAAAATGAACAAAAAAAAAATGCTCACACTTTATTAAGGTATATTGAATGTACTTCCTGACTTTCATGGACATGCATTAAACGGCTTAATTTGGTGGGTCACATGAACTATGGCTCGTGGAGTAATATAACTAAGTAAAACGTTGCGAAATAAATTGCACAAGCTTTGTAGCACTTTGATCCCGGCTGAACCGTATATTTCCAAGATCGATGCCACCCAGCGACAGTTAGATGTTCGACATCAAGGGGACATAATGAGAAATTTAATCATTGTTTCTTGCTTATTCTTTGTTTTGGGATTTAAAACAATCATCTGTGTTCTTCTTGAAAAAGAAGAAGGACAATATCTGCGGGATGTCTTCAGAGAGTTTGAGTGTACACCGCAAAATGGAAGGTTTGATCAAATTGTTGAAGGGCCACACGCTATGTCAAAATTAATACCAAAATTATTTATCTGGTGTCCAATAAGACATTACGGTTTGACTATTTTATGTCCTATTCATGGCTGTCCTCTGAAAGTCGGACAGTGGACCGATCTTCCTGACTCCTCCAACACAAGTCCAAGAAACCCAAGATTGATTTACGACTTGAACGGAAATGTTATTCTGGTGCAGGCGTTCTATGAATGCAGTGAAAGTTTGCCAGAAAACGTGATGATTGGACATCGGTATTTGTCCGCATCAAACGATGTGTTAGGCGCTCTCCCTGAAAGTGTTGTTAAGGGATTTCCTCTTATAATGCAGCAGAGAAGCAGTTTTACGCTGCGTCTTTATGATTATTTAATAACTGGTATTTATCAAGGACAAAACTTCATGGAATTATCTGAAGGCATTGCATCAATGAATTACAGACAGTACATGCGTAATAAACCGGACAGCAAAGAGTTATCTGTAAAGGAGTTTGAGAGTATTCCTTTCATTGCCTATCCAAGCAACGATAAACTAATGGATTTGTTTCTCATGCAGTTTGAGCGGAACAAAAAACATTAGGAGAATAACATGCAGAAACACACAGGGGAGATTCTGTCCTGTGACCACACCTTTAGAACGAATAAACATATCGGGGTAACCCGCGAGGACGGCAAGTTTGTAGGCCAGTTTAAAAACGTCTTCTTGGGGGTGAACGAAAACGGAGAAGTTATGATATGGAAGTTTACGAAGACGACTTCTTCGTCCGAAATTATCGACTCACTTAAAGAACTGAAAGAGAGGCTTGATAAGGCAAGCACTAACTTAAAAATGATAATAGTGGATGACTGTTGCCACGTGATGCACCTATATGGACAAATATTCCCGGGGATAAAGGTTCGGCTAGACTCATTTCACGCGTGTATGAGAGTTGTACAAACGGTACGCAAAAGCGAAGATTACAGTAAACAATTTGCTAATGAATTTTCTTTAATTTTCCGTCAAAATGGAGACCTTGGTAACGAGAGAACAATGAGCCGCCCCTTGTCCTGATGAAATAGAATCAAATCTTGAACGTCTTCTATTTGTTTGGAGAGAAAAGCTGAAAACGGAAACCCTTCTTCAAATTGAAAATTTGCGCAAGCATATAAAAAAAGGATGTCTCTCGGAAATACCTGTTGGATGTGGGACTGAAATAAATGAGCGACTTCACAGACATCTTAACCGATCATTACTGTGCGGAGTATCCAAAATTGGACCTGAGTTGGCGGTAGCGGTAATGGCGTGTGCTTTGTATGCATGGAATTGCAAACGAAGATTAAAAGCAACCCTCAATAAGAGAACAATTCCGATCACGCCAATTGAATTAGAGCCTTTAGAGTCTTTAAACCAAGCGACCCCTTATCTTCAGTCTCACATGACGGCTGTGGATTCTACGTCAACGTCATTACCGGGTTCAATATCTGGAACTGTCTCTGAAAATAGCAGTAAGGCTAGTAGAATGCCACGGACATCATCCGTTTTCGTCACAGTTAAGACTGTGGAAGAACTGGAAAACGATTCCGTCTTGAACTACATTTTGGAACGAGCGCTGCACATACAAGAATTTATCACCAGTTGGACAACAAAATGTAACAACAAAACAATAGATTTCATTGGTCTTGTCTGGAAGATAAACTTACCGGCAGCTAACCTTTATGAACAGGAGTCAAAGTTAAACGTTATGGAATTAAATTTGACCCCACAGCACAAAGATAACCTGTTAAGAAATCTCACAGGATTTGATCTTCAGTTGGACCCAATTAACAAAGACGGAAACTGCTTCTTCAGAGCAACAGCCCGGCAGCTACAAAAACACTTGCAACGTTCGGATTTGCAAAATCTACAGCATATTTCCTCACTGGGGCTTGGAATCAACGAGGAACGTGACACGGAAAACCTCAGACTACTTTTCGTGCGTGAAGTCACTGAAAATCTCGATGAATACAGGGAGTGGATGTCCTGTTCATCAAATGTACGAACAGGGTTACAAATTTAACCTCGGGTCAGAGATCATAGGCGAATTGAGGGAAAGGTGCACTGCATGTTTACAAAAATGTGCATGAGCGTATAATCAGGTTTAAAAAATTTGTGAAGCCGAGAGGTTTTACACCTGGTAATACACAATTGCGAGTTGCGAGTTGTTTTGAATGGCTTCAAATTCTCCGCTAATTTTATAGATGAACTCATTTTTGCACAAATATATTTAGATTTGTGGTTATTATGGCCTAACAATTGAACGTAAAGGTTAGCTTTTTTTTTTTTTTTTTTATCAGACATAAAGACACTCATTTTACAAACAAAAATTTCTTTGTTTAGTTTTGTTTTTAATGAATTATTAATGAATGTCTGAAGTTCATTTATGCTTTTGTTGATTATATACTGTGAAAGAGCTTGGCCTAGGAGATAACTATCAACCAATCAGACTGCCCAAAAACACCAAGCCTGAGTGGATATATACTAAATAAATTTTAGTTACCGACAATAATTGCAATGTATTTAGCAAATATACCTATCTGCTATTTGTGAATTAGATTTTCAGTGAAAAGCTCAACAGAGTATGGTATCTCCATCCAGTACATATAATAATTCAATATCGTTTTTTATTGATGAACTTGAAATTTGAAGGTCATATACCAATAATGAAAATAAATGAATAGATGAATTAAATAAATAATGTTTTCTCTACTGACCTTGGAGCTAGTAGCCGAATTGCGGAGGAACTGCGGAAATCAGACGTGATTTGCAGTCACTTCAGTCCATGTTTAATCTCACCGCCCCCTCTCCCCCTCCACCCCCCAGTCCCATAACGGCACAAGTCGGCCGGCTTACTCTTCGAACCAAGAAACGACGAAAACGAAGACAACGAGAACGCCCCCAAAACAATAAGAATATGCTGGGATTAGCAAAACACTACGACTTTACTTTGCCGTTGCGTGACTGCGACGTGATGTTAGATTGAGCTTTTTAAGCCACCATCTTTTTGGAATTTAAGCAATTAAAGGACTTTTTGCAGACAGCTATACCACCACGGGGGCAACCATGCTATGCAGGCACACCACTAGTGGCGAGCTTTGACAAGAATTAATGCTATATATGCTTTGCTGAATGTAAGGCATCTAGAAATAAAATGGGACAATGACACACATAAAAGTACTATATAGGGTTGTATGGTGATGTATAAAGACGCATATGGGAATTTATAGGGGTGTATGGGGACGTAGAGGGGTGTATAGGGATGTATGGTGTTGTATAGGGGTGTATGGTGATATATAGGGGTGTATGGGAATATATTGGGTGTATGGGGATGTATAGGGATGTATGGTGTTGTATAGGGGTGTATGGTGATGTATAGGGGTGTATGGGGATGTATATGAGTATATAGTGTTGTATAGGGGTATATGGCGATGTAAAGGGGTGTATGGTGATTTATGGGGGTGTATGGTGTTGTATATGGGTATATGGGGATGTGCTGGGGTGTATGGTGATGTATAGGAGTACATGGTGTTGTATATGGGTATATGGTGTTGTATAGGGGTATTTAACAATTATTCTTTGAAATCGAGGTGAATAGTGGCAAAATATTTACCGAGCCGCGAGAGCGGCGAGGTAAATATTCCCAAAGCCACTATTCACCGAGATTGAGAAGAATAATTGTTTTAGTATATACACACGAAGTGATCTCAACAAAATCAGAAAGGAAACCATTCAAAAGTAGGATTTGATTGACAGATCAAATCACGCGTAAGTTTAAAAATAGATCTTTGCAGAATTTTCAAACATGGCAATTCACAAGTTTACTCATTTCGCAAACAACAGCGTAATGGCTTCAATGGAATCGCTAAAAGTTTGAACTGTTTCCTTACCTGAGAAAAAAAGTAGAGCTGTGTTGTTTTCTGTTGACTCGCCAAGTTTATAGCCAAAAGGGCATGTTGTGTCGTTCTTCGCATGAAGTGCTGACAAAAATGGCGGCTCGGTTGCTCGAGGTAAGAGGTCGTCTTCCTGTATCATTCTTTTTCCTGTTTACTTGAAATGTAGAATTTCTGCAAACATTTCCTTTTAAATTTGTTTGTCATAAATAAACTTCGATTTTTGAGCCAAAATTTTCTTCTTAGAAAACGCTGAGTTCACGAAACGGCTTCTTCTACGCGAATACACGGGAGTTGTAAACAATCCATCGAGCACAAAACTCCTGCTACAGTAAATTGAAAAACGCCGTATTGAATCCTTCCAAGTCTTTTCTTGCCTTAAAAAAAGTCAGCCCTAGGATTTTGTCGACTTTTAAAAGATCGTTCTCTAAAAAAAACGGGAAAAACACCGAGCTCACACATTATCCACTCGCTAGGAGGTGAATATTGTTGAATAGTCCGAGATAGCGAACCAATCAGATTGCTTAAATCACCAAGATCACTGAGTGTGTATATACTAAATGGCGATGTACAGGGGTGTATGGTGATGTATAGGGGTGTATGGTGATGTATAGGAGTATATGGTGTTGTATATGGGTATATGGTGTTGTATAGGGGTATATGGTGTTGTATAGGGATATATGGTGATGTATAGGGATGTATGGTGATGTGCTGGGGTGTATGGTGATGTATAGGAGTACATGGTGTTGTATATGGGTATATGGTGTTGTATAGGGGTATATAGTGTTGTATAGGGGTATATGGCGATGTATAGGGGTGTGTGGTTATGTATAGGGGTGTATGGTGATGTATAGGGATATATGGTGATGTGCTCGGGTGTATGGTGATGTATAGGAGTACATGGTGTTGTATATGGGTATATGGTGTTGTATAGGGGTATATGGCGATGTACAGGGGTGTATGGTGATGTATAGGGGCCTGATATGATGTTGTATATGGGTATATGGTGTTGTATAGGGGTATATGGCGATGTAAAGCGGTGTATGGTGATGTATGGGGGTATATGGTGTTGTATATGGGTATATGGTGTTGTATAGGGGTATATGGTGTTGTATAGGGGTGTATGGTGTTGTATATGGGTATATGGTGTTGTATAGGGGTATATGGTGTTGTATATGGGTATATGGTGTTGTATATGGCTATATGGTGTTGTATATGGCTATATGGTGTTGTATATGGGTATATGGCGATGTAAAGGGGTGTATGGTGATGTATGGGGGTATATGGTGTTGTATATGGGTATATGGTGTTGTATAGGGGTATATGGTGTTGTATAGGGCTATATGGTGTTGTATAGGGGTGCATAGTGTTGTATATGGGTATATGGTGTTGTATAGGGGTATATGGTGTTGTATATGGGTATATGGTGTTGTATATGGCTATATGGTGTTGTATATGGGTATATGGCGATGTAAAGGGGTGTATGGTGATGTATGGGGGTATATGGTGTTGTATATGGGTATATGGTGTTGTATAGGGCTATATGGTGTTGTATAGGGGTATATGGTGTTGTATAGGGGTGTATAGTGTTGTATATGGGTATATGGTGTTGTATAGGGGTATATGGTGTTGTATAGGGGTGTATAGTGTTGTATATGGGTATATGGTGTTGTATATGGGTATATGGTGTTGTATATGGCTATATGGTGTTGTATATGGGTATATGGCGATGTAAAGGGGTGTATGGTGATGTATGGGGGTATATGGTGTTGTATAGGGATATATGGCGATGTAAAGGGGTGTATGGTGATGTATTGGGGTATATGGTGATGTATAGGGGTGTATGGTGTTGTATAGGGGTATATGGCGATGTAAAGGGGTGTATGGTGATGTATATGGGTATATGGTGTTGTATAGGGGTATATGGCAATGTATAGGGGTGTATTGTGTTGTATATGGGTATATGGTGTTGTATAGGGGTATATGGTGTTGTATATGGGTATATGGTGTTGTATAGGGATATATGGCGATGTAAAGGGGTGTATGGCGATGTAAAGGGGTATATAGGGGTATATGGTGTTGTATAGGGGTATATACGGGTATATGGTGTTGTATGGGGTATATAGGGGTATATGGCGTTGTATAGGGGTATATAGGGGTATATGGTGTTGTATAGGGATATATAGGGATATATGGTATTGTATAGGGGTATATAGGGGCATATAGTGTTGTATAGGGGTATATGGTGTGTAATAGGGGTATATAGGGGTATATGGTGTTGTATGGGGTATATAGGGGTATATGGCGTTTTATAGGGGTATATAGGGGCATATAGTGTTGTATAGGGGTATATGGTGTGTAATAGGGGTATATAGGGGTATATGGTGTTGTATAGGGGTATATGGTGTTGTATGGGGTATATAGGGGTATATGGTGTTGTATAGGGGTATAGGTGTTTATAGTGTAATAATAATAATATATAGTAAGATATAATAATTATGTTTAGGTACATAATAATAATCATATATGAAGTACCTACCTCACCTTTCTTCAGGTCCGCTGACCCCTACACGCGCTGACCCGTAACGTCCGTTGGAATGTATGTAACGAAATACAAGCAGCCCACATTCAAAGTACTTGGAGACTAGCTGAGGCTGAATTCATCATCATTAATAGGAAAAACATAAAACTGTTTCACTTCACGATTTCTGGTGATAGAAAGACTGTTTTTTTTAACTTATATTTCACGTATTTGTTTGGATCCCGCTGCAGTTCGGACAAATGAACGCTGTCACGCGACAACATTTCCAAGATTCAACTCTCCTTAGCAGATGGTAATTTCGAGTTATTCTCTTTTTCTGCGAATCTTTCATTTTCCTTTCTCTTTTAATTCTATATACTTCTATTTAGGATGGTTTTCAGCGCCTAGCAAGGATTAAAGTGGCGTTTCCCACGCTACCCTTGGCCATATTGGCAACAGAGAAGTGTTTCGCTGAAGTGGCAACTTAACGGTAAATACGGTAACTTTGAACGGTTTTTACAACGTCAGTATACTTTGGCCGAAAAATGTTTTTCCGAAAACGTGATGTATATCCCTCCAATGTCTGATTCATCACTGTGATTGCTTTCAGCAGCGTTGGACTTTTGAGAAATTATTGTTTTAAAATCAACTCCAACGCTCCATCTAATTTAAAATGCAATATTTGAAAATTTATTTTTTATTCCCTTCGGCAGTTTTTCGATGTTTATCGAATGATATTGCATTAAAAGGCCTTTTTCTTCATCACTGTGTGGTTTCCTCGCTATTTTGCGTTGCGATAGTGATTTCTGAACCGTTTTTTGCGAGGGCTTATTTTAGGCCTGATTTTGCTGCTATCAGACGGAAAAAGTTTGCGGCTCGATATTTTTGGTTTAAAGCGAAACTGAAACAAAAGAAATTCATTTTTGAATAGTATTCGGTAACCTCTACTTGGGAGATAAAAATCGGCCGATTTTATTTTTTAGCCGGAAATCATCGGTCGTTTCTTAGGCGCAGGGCCTCTTAAGACTGACACAATTGTGCTCGTAGTAACACCTCAACTCACACTCATCCAGATCGCGAACTTTTAAAGTTTTTATGGTGTGGTTCATCAGGCGCTTGTCGGCAAAGAAAAGAAAACCTGGGAACGCCAATTCGCGACAAGGACCTTAAGGAAAAAATAGCAGAACTATATTTCTAACACTTGTAATAGAGTTCATTTGGGTTTCCTATTCAAATTTAAATAAGGATTCCGCATATTGTTCAGCGGTTAGCATTCTCTCTTCAACGGTCACTTAAGATCAATTTTGAAAATGTATTTTGAATAGCATACGAAACGTCAAGTTTATAAAAAATGCGAAAACTCACAATGTTTATCACCGCTGTTTGTGTTTTATTTTTGATCAAACTACGATGGCCCAAGAACAAAAGTCTCTAGTTAAGCTCCGCAGAATGTTAAAATTCTGACGCTGAAATGAAAAACTCCCACCTCAGCCTGTGTACAGACCCCCACCCCCCTCCTGTCAGGAAAAATCGGAGAAGGGGGGTCTGTGATTCACCGTTGATAATCGTGTATAGAGGCCACGTGATTTTTCCTGGAATGTGTGGAAAATAATTTGATTAGCTGTTACTCGTAGACAAGAGAGAATGATCTATCAGTACATCGTGAAATGAGGGATTTTGATTGGTTTTAGGGCCTGTCGTCAATACATAGCAGGCAGTCTGAAAATCATCACATTGACAACTACACTCACTTTTCCTGAGGGGAGGGGGGTATGTACACAGGCTACTCCCACTTCTCCACCTCAAACACTCACTACCCCACCCTTCCCCCCCACCAACCATCCCTCTCCACCTGTAACAGCCTATCGATGAAAATTGTGACTATTTTTGTTCATCATATTTTGCCTCTGTCAAGTACGAATCAAGCCTGTTCCTGATAACCTAAAGCTATATTATGTAAACTTAGTATATAACTTTAACTTGAATGCCCATTACCATATTTATAAGTCTTGGACCTTTATGATTTCTACCGCTAACCTGACAGTGGCCAGCTCGAAAGCTGTCGCTTCTTTGGCCACTGTGCACGTACCTTCCCCGCTCGTGACTTCGGCCTTCAGCCGAAGATGTGTCGGCCTTCCACCGGACGCAAAAAAACCTCTGGTACCCAGGGTCAATAAGTACTTGTGTAATAATATATTTTCAAATAATTGTTAGTCCTAAGTTACACCCTGTAAACAGAGTAAAAAATAAAGTTGAGGTTGATAATTCAAACTACAGGCTTTTTACTGCAAGTAACTGCAGTGCACTGCAGTGAATGATTCTGAATTTTGGATGGTGGATTGCGGACTGTGAATTAATGTGGATACTATATCGCATCATTCCTGTTTTTAATACAAAATGAGATGTAAAAGCCTTTTTGTTTCCGCTTTTCATCAAACCGGCTTCTTAAAGTGGTAATTGAACTTCGTGTCGTGCAGTTTTGGTCTGAAATCATAATACTTGAAATCACGCGTATGATTCATTTTAGACCAAACTGCACTCCACTCAGTTCAATAACCATTATAAACCTCACAAGTTACCATCAGTTAAAGATTTGTTCTGTCTTTCTTCATAGTTAAGTAGTGAGGTATAATAATAATAATTTATTCATTTATAGTGCGCTTTTTAACATGCTAGGTGATCAAAAGCGCATTACAACAATAAAGAACCTAAAAACTATTAATACAAATATTAGAAATGTACAAATATATTTAATATCTAAGACATATTAAAAGCTAATTTAAAAAGATAAGTTTTAAGATTAGATTTAAAAGTAGAAACACATTTGATGCTGCGGAGGCTAACAGGAAGAGCGTTCCATAAAGTGGGCGCAGCCACACTGAAGGTCAGATTTGGTAGATTTGTTTCTACAGTTTCGTAAACTAAGTAGGTTCTTGACTCTCTCTCCAAATACGTTGACTTTGTCCACTAAAATTGACTTGGTAAAATAACCTAATCCAAAGAACTCTGATTTCGCAAAATGTTTCAAATGAAAGAAGGTACCTCTATGTGAAACGCCTTACCGTCTATAATTAGTATAGGTAATAGCATGATTTGTAGTGATATTTGGCATAAATACAACGAGCGATATTTCGAAATTGTTGTGCGTAATTTCACGAGCCGTTAGGCGAGTGAAATTTGAGTCAATTTTGAAATATCACTAGTGGTATTTACGCCAAATATCACGTACAAATCATGCTATTATTTGTTTATACTACTACCCGCAAAGGTTTTGTAATTTTCACATGTAGGTATTTCAAATTAAGCTGAAATACCACTGCTCTTAGCCAATCAAATTGAAGAAATTTCTCACCCAGTAGTATAAATGCGATAACATCAGCGTAAATAATTCAGAAACAGTCAGCGTAAATAAATCAAACACAGTCTAAATCTGAATGCCATGAATCTAGGTAAATATTGCACTGTTGGAGGTCAACTTCCCTTCATTAAAAAATTCTCAGGACGTGACAGTCAAGACTAAACACTCTCCACCATGGAGTCGCATTTGTCTTGTTTCAAAATAAGTCCAGCTGAGTCTCCAGTTGGTGGTGGTACTCAAAGTAAAACACAAGACCTTGGATATCTAGCTGTTACCAGCTGCAGCTTCTAACCTTTTAAATGCAGTATTGGTAAGTCCCGTATAATACTTAATGTCAAGCGACTTTTAAGAACTCAGATATGTCAAAATGTTTTTAAAAAAGCTTATAGTGTAACATTAATGGAAAAACAACTGACTTGGAAACAAAACATTACATGAACTCTTTTCAGTAAGTAACAGACCAGTTACTTAAACGTTTAAGAATACTTTTCCTTAAGTTTCTGTCAAAGAGCTTGCATTTTAGTAACTTACAGGGCTGAACTCATTACGAAAAGAATATACAAATCGAAAAAAACAAAAACATGGAACAGAGTGGAGAAATAATGGTTGTATTTAATTCGAAAACTGCAGCACGGGGGAATTTTATCAACTAAACCGCAATTCTGTTAAATGCACAAAATATCCCTCCTCTGTTAAATTGCTGCAAAATTTGGCTAACTGTTAGCGTTCCAAGAGCATTAGAAAAAAAGGTTCTTAAACATACCTTCATTATAAGAATGACTTCTTACAAACGTGGCCATGCTTTTATACAAGATTATGACGCAAGAAATCATGTAGTAGAATTTCATATTCCGTGTCAATTACTTCAGTCTACTTAACTTCAAAGGCCCTCACTCAGTGTATTTGTTACTTGAGTAAAAGTAATCTGTTCTGTCACTGTAACAAGGAAGATGTGTAATGAAAACAGATGGCTGTGTACACTATCAATTATTCAGTAAATTTTATCATGCAGACAAGAAAACAAGATGTTATAGGTAGCCTGCGATCATAGTTGTTTGTTGGTGTGGGGAAAATGTTTCAGTCAAAGTAAGTTTTAATTAAAGAAAACATTAATTTCCATACGTGAAAAATCATCGCTGTTATGCACGCAACTTAGATGCGAAAAAGAAAGTCTGAAAAAAATTGAATACATACGCGTCTTCAACACCTAAATTAACAACGGTGCAGAATTTTCTTTAGTGCTGCTTTTTATGCAGAAATACGTATGTTATCAAATTAGCACATAGGATGGCTGTTTTTCCCTAGCGACCGAATACATGGTCTGAATACGGGTATAGACTTTCCCATTTTTGTCTGGAATCGGGTATAGTTTTCGAGGAAACTACGGGAGTGTATGAACATACTTGTCTTTTCAATCCCAAATGAATAAGAACGACTGAATAGAAATATGTGAATTCGAAATGCGTTTGAAGAAATTTTTTGTTTGCGCTCTAATCTAAGTAATGATGACAAAATTTCCTCCTAAAGGCAAGGTCTGAAAACGGGTATGGATTTTAGAGGTCTGTTCTGAAGACAGATATGGAAAATAACATTTTTTGGTCTGATATAGGGTCAGGCACAACCCCGCCAAAATTCCCAGGAGTACCCCCCCTTCCGGGCCAGCTTGGGCAGTGGCGACCAGACTTTTTGTCAACAATAGGTAAGTTTTGCCAAGTTCCATAAACTTTCACTTTAGAAACGAGGCTAAGTGCAAAACCTTTCCTGTTGCACTTAGCCTCCCTTTGAAAAAGAAGCTCGGAACAACATTGAGTCTGTAGGCGAAATCCCATGGTGCTGGTATTCAAATGAAACCTGTTTAGTAGAACTTTTGCAGAGTACCATTTATTTCTTACGATTTTACAAAACGAAAGTTAATATTGGGGGATTTTTTTTTTGGGCCAGGCGGTTAGAAGTGAAACGGTTTATACGGCAAGTCTATCCCAAGGCCTAATGAGGAGTGAGCGTTAGGGGTGAGCAGATAATAAGAGGGATCATTGAGTTTCGGTTTGAATAACAGGAGAAGTCGTTACGTCACGTTGCCATGGTAGCAAAATTTTTGGAAGACAACAAACCGATAAAGTCACTTAAAAGTCTATTCGCACTATTTCAAACTTCACCGATCTTATTCAATTTTATTTAATTTAATTTGGCAAATCTTGGCGAAATTTTCTTCGGGGCCGTATTTATCGTTATCTAAGTTTAGAAAAAGAAGGCGACAATTTTTTGTGTTGTGTCACCTACTCCATAAAGCGGGCTCGTGAAATTAAGAAGTTTCATGTCGTAGTGGTGCAACGACGGCAAAGAAGTGTACAAAATAGCGTGATGCACGTGCAAAGTTGTTGTTTGTTAATATAAACATATTATTTTTTCGTTCTCCTTGCTGTGGCAGTCGTCGTTGGTTTTGTTGTCATCCAGAAATAGTGCTACCATGGTAACGTGACGTCACACTTCTCCACTCTATTACAAGTTAATTTACGTGAAGAAACATCTGCGTAGGCCAACACAATATACTGACATGACAGGGCTGCCTCCGGCACTGGATGCGTGATCATGAAGACACGTTTTTTGCTCTTCACGTTTTTGACCCTCTTGAAACCAATCATTTTATTACTAAGTTCTTCTTTGCAATTTTCGAAAAAATAGGGGAAAGGAAACCGTATTTAGACCAGGAACCCGTTTCCCGAAGTCCCGCCAAAGCTTTCAAACCCTGACTCGGTTTAGACACAAATCATGCATTTCGCTACCTTGTCGAGAGAACTTATTTTAGGGTCCTGGGCCCAGTTGTTCGAAAGCCGGTTAGCGCTAACCCGGGCTTAAATTTTAACCCGGGTTTCTTTTTCTTTATATCAAAAGCAGTCTCTCCGGATAATTTTCTCTATTCTTTTAGCATATCCAATCATCAAATTGTAGGCAAAGAGAATTCAACTGAATTGGCTTTTTAAAGCTCTCATATCTGAGTTCGAAATTTGCACTAACCCTGGGTTATCTTAACCCAGCTTCGAACAACCCGGCCCTGATTCGTTTCGTTTCCCATGCAGAATTACGTAATTTAGATTAAAATTGTTTAAACTGACACAATGGAATTAGATGATTTTGGAAAAAAATAATTTTTGGTAGGAATCCTGAAGACTCATAGCCTGCGGACACAGACGTCAGACGACCGTAAATACGTCTTAGTCCGCAGGCTAAAAGACTCAGAAAAACCATATCCTGTTCAGCGGCACATATGGAAGTGCCCATCGGGACTAGAGTACCCTAGAGACCATATTTCTCATGCAATGCAGCAAAATAAGGGCCTGTTTACATGGAGGTGGGGGACCCCAGCAAGGTGAGGTTACCCGCTTAGGTGGGGTAAAAAATTAACCCTCCTTTACATGCAATCTTACAACCACGCCATCCCAGGGTGCACTTTCTCAAGATTATTGAATGGTCGCTAAGCACGTAAACAAGAAACATGATGGAAAACCACGTGTTTTGGCGATTAATGCTCTTCTGCACTCACTTGCTGCTCTTGCTGCAACCTTCAGTGTGATGGCTTTCTATTGTTAACTTTAATAATGATGCAAAGCCACCGCCAAATTTTGCGCAAATTTGATGTATCACGAATCGGACCCCGGCTAGGCGGGTTACCCCTCCTTGAAACGTTTACATGGCAAAATTTGACCCGGCTGAGAGGGTTACCCGGTCTGCCAGACCAGGCTACCTGTCTTTGCGGGTCACCCCATTTATCATGTAAACGTGATCACATTAAAATGAGAGATTATATGGACAGGCGGGTTACCCCTCCTAAAGCGGGTTACCTCACCTACCTGGGGTGCCCCACCTTCATGTAAACAGGCCCTAAATCAAGCTTTCTGTCTCATAGTTACGATTAATGTTCTCTATGACACTAAAAGACTACAAGGAAAAAATGGACTTTAAAAATATGCGTAGGCAATTCACACAGTTGCGCATTCCATGAGTCTATTCTTTAAGTAATCCAAGAGGTTAGGAAATTTTATGGGTATATCATTTTGAATCGATAGCAAATTAATGATTCACTGTTACTCACTGTCATCCAATAAACTAACAGGTTTAACATTCGACGAAAGAAAATTCGTACTTACAACAAGCAGAAGATAAAACGGCGAAGAGGCCATATTTTGCATGACAACGGAAAGCAGATTATCGCAGCGCAGTATATTAAACGTCCGTGCGTCTGATAACTTCTCAGATATCGTGGGAAAAGGGTCTGGCGACAAGGCTGTTTGAAGAGATAGAGCTGCTAAGATGTCGTTGATTTTCAACATTAGGGAGCTTGGGCAACTACGACGACGACCACAACCACGACTTCAAAAAACAATAGGTTTAATGATCAAAACAACAGCTCCGTTGCACGTGCATCACGCTTTTTAGTACATTTCTTTGACGTCCACTGCACGACTACGACGTGAAACCTCCTAATTGACCGTTTTATGGAGAACATGAACATAACGACGACGAATTTTCGTTCCTCTTTTTGAATCTGAATAAAATCCTTAAGAATTCAACTCCATGATAAGTCGCCTACATTTGACATATTGAGCGGGTCCAAATAGACGCAAAACATGTACAAAACGAAGAGTTTTAGAGAGAAACTTTTGTTTGTAATAGTTTCCATATTTCCCATTTTCATGTTTGTTGATCAGTTGTTACTCGTGGACGTGTTTTCTCAACCGTACTATCTAACTTATGCCAAAAACAACATGGGCGGGCTTCCGTTATAAATCGTTAAAAAACATGAAAAATCGATAATATCGATTTGACACAGCAATTTAGTTTATCGATTTTCACCGATTTTCGTTATCAATCGATAAAAATCACCGATTTGATTGCTACCGATTTTTATCGTTACCGATTTTTATCGATTGACTACTCCGCGATTAGTAGGTAACTGGATGACTTTTTGGAACAGTGATCCGTTGGAAAGAAAATACTCTGTTGGTATCATTTACATTGGAAAATGGGTTAGTGTCGACCGCTGGCAATTTAGCGAGCCAGAAGTTGGCCAATTGTGTGAAATGGCTATATTTAAAAAAAATGCTTCAGTAATATCGTAGGGCAAAAATTGGTTTCCTGTTTTCGGCCTGGAACACTGTAGTTGATTTATACTTTATTTTGCGGAGATTATTCAAGTCTTTTTAAACGCCAAGTTTTACAAGGATCACCTTTGTTTGCGGTCTTTCATTAAATTTTGGCTTCGTTTATAGGGTAGTTGGTCTTGTTTCGCTACCTTTGAACTGTTTGCATATCAAGGAATTGCTTGTGGAACCTGATTTATTTTTATTCTAAAGTTTCGTTTTTATATTTCACGCACGGGCAGTTTGTTAAATAATCCAGGGAGAGCTTTTTGCTATATATATTAATTAATTAATCCTTTGACTGTTTCAAAGGTACATGCCTGTCAATAATGATACTGTCAGGTTCCTTTCTTAGAATAGGTTTAATTATAAAATTCTCCATATATTAGACTGTGAGCACTCTCTTATTTTTGTTTGCAAAGTTACTACATAACAAATAAACCTGAATAATTAACATATGCAAAGTTGTCAGTTCCCAATGAAGAGTGTCAATGAAAAGGGTCAGCCCTCCCTCCCTTTCTCGGACATAATTAGAACTTGGAGTCCTTTTACGTGCTCCTCGACAGGGATCTCGTCCCATACCTTAATTCTATTTGGTAAGAGAAGGGGATAATGAATTATTTGAGGACTTAAGGCACCCAGTAAATCGAACTCTATTCAACGGCACATGCCCATAACCATTTCTGCATACTCGATGACGTCATCGATAATGGCTTCCTTGATAATGACTTCGAAGAAACTCATTTACTTTTCTTATTTGAGCCTTAGTGGATTCAGTCCTCAGTCTTATTCCGTGAAACCTTGCCAAATTTAAGGCAAAGAGTGACTAAATACAACAGGTGAATAGGTGATAGCTTCTGCTGTGATTGGAGAGAGAAATTCTGTGGATAAGTCGAGCAAACGGTCTTTCTGAGAGGAAGCCGATTAAGGAGTAGCTGATTCGACGTTTTCAGGTATATGTAGCATTCTTTTTTTTTGGTTCCTACAAGAAATGTTTTCAAAAACTAGCATAAATTTGCTTCCGATTTGTTAAATTCCTGTCGAGCGCCCAAAATGTAAGTTCGAGTGCTCGGACGTTGAAAGTCTGCTTATTAGCCTGCATAACACGCGCTTTCCGAGCGCCAAGCGAGGCGGACGCGGCATTTTGCACGAAGCGCGAGACGAGGGGAGGAGAAAAATAATGCGCCTGTTACCTGTCCGTTGTTCTGGCTCCTCCCTCGTTCACTAAATGAACGTTGCGTTCCATTTGGTTGATTGATGACGCGCTAGCGCTGTTTTGGCATGTTTGTCTGGAACAAAATAACCGTCGCGCATTCATGTTCTTTTGACGATGCTGTTCGAGAAGACTTTCGTTTAGTTTCAGAAATAAAAGAAAAACAAAAGAAATGTTTAAATATGTTCTTGGATTGCTTCCTCGGGGGGGACTCCACACATGAAAGGGGTGGGGATGCTCGTCATCTCGCTTAGGGGTGTAAATTTCGGATTTTGGTCTCACTTGGGGTGTTCTGGGCAAAACGCCATCATATTTAGCCGTGAAGGTCTCCTTTAGGGTTGCACGCGAAAAAATATAAAAGTATATATCTGATATGTATATGTTTAATGCCTTTTATTTACTCCATTCATATAATCCAAGTTTTCTCCTTTGTCTTTGTTTTAGCATGGTCTCTTTTAGGGGTCAAAAAAAAAGCTTGGGCCACGCCCAGATCGGTCTCCTTTAGGGGTTTAATTCAAATTTCCGATGAGCATCCCCACCCCTTTCATATGCGGAGTCCCCCCACCCCCGGGATTGTTTCTAACTAGTTTAGGAAAAAGCCTCATTTACTAACATTTTTAAATTAAGTGTTGACAGGCACCAAGAGAGATCATTCTCTCTTGCAGGCACAAACACGACTAATAAGCACGTGACCTTGGAATTTGTTTGAACAACACGTTTTCCCTCTTTTCTCTCTCGCCGCTGTGTTTTGTCATTACCAAACTTTGACTGAGCAAATCTTACTCGCAGTTATTTAGGATGTTTTATGCTGTGGTTGGTGTTTCAGGTAGCCAGAAAGGTGACAATTGTTGAGCAATGGATCGTGTTTTGATTGGTCCTTTTGACATCACCGCCGTCAGTCAATACTTGTGGCAACCTCGTTCCCGGGGGAGAGAGAACCTGCGAACGAGGTTGTACTTGTTGGGGTAGGTGGGCGGAAGAGCCAGAACAATGGACTGGCCGTGGTAAGCGCTTTATTTTTCTCCTCCACTCGTTTCGCGCTTCGTGCAAAATGCCGTGTTCGGCTCGCTTGGCTCACAAAGCACCTGTGATCTAACTCACTCCCCACCACCTGAACGCCTGGAACAGGCTTACTGATTCAAAATCTCGTTTCATTTTGTCGTCTTCGTGGATAAACTCTGATTGGTGGAAGGATGCCGTGCGGAGTAGTGCCATGTCATGTTCTGATTATTTTTTTCCTAGTGGGTAAAAAACTGTGGAGGATTTCAAACTTAAACTGCGCAAGTATTATCATTGCTGTTTGCCTCACATTCAGAGAGGCCATTTCCTGAAGGTGCCTTTTGTTTCTCAACCTCGTCCCCTTTTTTGTTACCCATGTTTTGAGGGAAAAGCCCTGGGGACGAGGTTGTTTGTTTCTGTCAGAAATTGACCTCTACCGATTTGCTGCTATGCTTTGTCGCGCGTTGATTTCAGGATATTGAATTTTTTACGGATAGTGATTTCTTGTCCCGAATAAACATGACAAAAAACGGCGGGGTCTGTAGGACTGAACGACTTTTACCTCATAATGTAAAATGTCATTTGTTCAGATTCTTTTCTTTGTAGCAGCCGAGTAGATTATGCTGTGGAGGTCGTGGGGCAAATCTTATTTTTGCCGCTGGTTTCACGTTAAAAGGTCATGCATATGAAGCTGACCTTTCCTGTTTTATTTCCTGGGGTTTCTGTTTCTAGGTTTTAATCTTTGGTCCGATGCAGTTAAAGCATTCGAAAAGCATGTTCTTTAGCTCCGCGGGTAGAGGACGACGACGTGAAAACGTTCAAATGATGAAAAATGAACTGGAAAGAATCCACTTAACTCTTCACCTGCGGGAATGACAAGACATTTGAGTTGTATGCTGAATGTTTCAAATAAATAAAGTATTTTTCTATGCTATCTTTCCGCGCATTGTTTATTACTGAGCTTTGCTTCGGCCGATTGCCGCAAGTGGCTGCCATCAAACACTTGTCCAACTTCTACTTATTTCCAGTATCTCTTCAGTCAAGTTTGTTTTGTCTTGGTTTTGACCACACCCAATCACAAGGCCGAAACCGATATCCAGAAATGGCTATAGCCCGGACTTATAAAGATTGAATTAGGGAATAACGAGCAGGGTATAAATATATTTATTATTCAGTTAAAATATTTCCCCGATTCTGATTGGCTAAAAGCACACGCATAATTCACCATAACCAGCTACTGGTGACCAAATTTGGAAGAATTTTGCGATTAATCAACCGATGACGTCAAAAGTGTAGCTTCCTTGCAGGTTAATGCACCGTTAACTGAGAAGACCTGGAAACGAGAATGGGTTGCTTTGGATGTGAAAACAAAAATGGAGGACATTTCACTCGTTTCAAGAGTAAAAACTAGGCGAAATAATAGCTAAAAACATGGCAAAAAAAGCAAGAAGACCATCTCCAAGGGCGACATCTGCTAGCTGGAGAATATTTGCGGAGCTGAACAATCCTAAACATGAGCTATCAAAGATGAACTTAACATCGATGGAGGTAAGCATGTTGTAGCTATGTTTTTAAACTAGAAATTATTTTGAATGAATAATAAAACAATTATTTAATTCGGCTTTCGTATCATATGAAGAATTATGGAGATCTCGGAGGGATAACACCCTCCTCGCACTCCAAAATTCTTCACAAGATAATCATCCTCATCATTAACTGTTAAATATACACGCCTGATTTGTTTGTTAACTAAACAAGAAAATTTAAAAACTAATCGATCATAAGAGTATAGAACACTAGGAACCAAACCACCAGATGCCTGAAACAGCAAACGACAGTACTGACATAACCTGCAAACCGCAGACGTATTTGCGGTCGTCGCTTCTCTTCCGAAACTAGAGCCAAAAAACGGATGCCCTCGCAGGCTAGTACTGACATCGGTAACATTACGCTTTGAAATTATATAGCAAAGATAAGGAACCATAATGTAATGGTGTAGTCCAGTCTCAAGATGGTTTGTTTACACTGAATGTAGAAATGATTTCTAAAATATAGACGCAACAGGTCACGGTAGGAACTCTGGTCTAATAAACCTTAAAGCCTGATGAAGGCCATATCATAAAATTTATTTAACCAACAGAGGGTGAAGAGAAAGACAGCAAATGCCCCCATAGACCCTTCTATACGCAATCCCACTGAGGGTCAGCTCTCTCTTGGTTCGTGTTAGAGAGTTTAAGCGCCAAATTTGTGAGAAATTTAAACTAAGGTCTTTTTAAGCTTCAATACTGTAACTCTGAAATTTTCAACAGTGGACTAGAGGGCCCATTTTTTCAAAAAATCATGTGTTTAGTTTTTCATATCTTGACACTATTGCCGGGAAAATGACTTCGGAAATTTGTCACCAGAACTTGGTCTTATATCATAATGGGACACCTTAAAAAGATCACTTTAAAAGGCCACCAAACTATAAAGAAATAAAACATGTCCATCCAAACAAAAGAATATAGCATTGTAAAAATCTGACATTCAAACCTTGTTGCAAAAATTTGCTTTGCTTAGTCTTTTAAGGCTACGAAAGCTAAGTTACTCTAAAGAAAACGAAGTAAAAGGATACACTCCGTAAGATATTTGACATAATTTTACGAAAAATAAAGAAATATAATTATATATATTTTTCGAAAAAACACCGATCAGCTAAACAGTACATAGGTTAACTAAGGATTTGAGTAGAGGACTAACATGATTAGAGAGAGAACTTAAAAGAGGGGCCTTAGAAACAACAAGATTTGACCACAGTTATGGCTACGCCCACCCCGATAAAGGAAAGTTGAAGACTCTTCCTTATCTTTCAAAAGGAAAAGACAACGAAGAACAAAAGCGTAAAAGGCAAACTGTAATTAATTTTTATACCTAGCAAATTGTTCATCCGTTGAGATACACCCGTTCAAACGGCTTGGTTCACCCGTTCAAAAGCCGTGTCTTTGATCTCCTGTTGAACGGCAATCCGTTAGCGTTGGTTTTAGCGTAAATGCTAATATTTACGATCATGTAACAACATTGAGTGTCTACTCAAATCTTTTTTGAGGATTTGTCGAATTCTATCTACAAGCTTTTCACTCTGTGTCTCCCACTTGTACTCTTTGTCATACGACTTTCGAAGAGAACAAGCCTCCTTTAGCCGGAGTTTCCTTTCTTTCTGTCTCACATGTCTGATAGTTTTACGCCACTCTTCAGGATCATCGGACCACACCACACTCGCAGATCCGAATTCTACTTTACGGATAGCTTGACCGAACCCCGAATTGTTACTTACCAAAATAGGAAGGCCAGCGGAGAGTGCTTCGAGAGCTGTGAGGCCAAAGCCTTCCGTTCGTGACGGCATAATGGCGAGATCCGCCTCACACAAGAATTTTTTTAATTCCTCGCGACTCTCAGTAAAGCCTCGCACAGTTAACTGTGTGTGAGAAATGTCACACTTCAGTAACCTGTTTTTAACTTCTTCTTCGTTACCTTTTGGTGCCCCGACAAACTGAAGAAGGTAGCTTTCGTCTTTAAGCTTGCTATAGCTTGAGCAGCTATATCATATCCCTTTAGTTTAAAATCTTCCAAGTTACGACAACCAAACACTAAGATGCGGAACTGTTCTCTCTCCTGACTGGCTTGCTCCAACTCTGCGAACTCCGAAAAAATACCAGGTGTGATATCTATCACACGTTCATCTCTGCCGCACCACCGAAGATTGGCTGAGACAGTTTCCTTTAGCTTTGGTCCAATGGCCACGACGACGTCAGCTTCCTTACACAGATACATTTCAGTTCGGTGCTTCCCCTCGCCTTCAGGGAGCACTGTTTCACCTTCCTTCAACATTGCAAGCTCTTCACTGGCGGTGTGTACTATATGAACTCTCTTGCAGTTGCGCTGTTTAGCTATGATCTGAGCTGGTACTCCAAGCTCATGACCATGGCCTACAACAACATCAATATCAAGATCTTTAGGAGGAAAACACAATTTCATGATGGGATCAGACACGAGCATCGCCTCTGGTGTTACAAGGCACACATTAGATTCATTAGCTTCTTTCTTCTCCAGTTCAGTGTATTTTGGCAGTAGGATAGTTACTTCAACCTCAGGCTGACGTGCAAGGTTTTTTGCTAATTCCCTGTTCAGCGTAGACAATCCGCCTTTCGATGATTCCCATTCACCTCCGACTAGTGTTATCCTTAAAGGGCGTCTCACGAAAGAGGCTGACCGTCCATCAGTAGCGCTTTCCTGAAGACGGAGAGAGAGAATTAAAAGAAGTCGATTTTCACGTGAGCTGATAATGGTAAACATTAGTTATATTAATCAAAATAACTGAATATACTGTAACAACCGTACTTTTACGAATCTTTCCTGGTGTGCTGCCCTCAATTCTTGATGTCCTTTAAGTTCTACCTCCACTTCTTCATCTGCAACATTCCGAGTTTTGCTTAGGGCGTACTGATTGTGACGTAGCTCTTCCGGGTTTAAAGCTCCATATTCAAATGTTTTAACGACTTTTAGTTGCATCAGCTGAATATTCTTCAGCTGTGTTTTTATGTCCTGTTCACTGTCAGCCCACTCAATCAAGACATCAAGGTAATCTTGCTCTCCACCCCCTCTGCCTTCAGTCTGTCAATTTCTGCTTGATCTAAACCCAGAGAATGAAGAGTAGTGCTTAATTCCTGCCAGATGGTAGAGAAAGACGTCTCATCTACACCGGTGGTTGTCATGTGACCATACAGCCTATTCCGAAAGAACTTAACGCGAGCAAGGTTAGCCTCGAGAGATTTGTCATTAGGGGATGGCTTGGTATGCCATCCTGTTGGGGAGGGATAAACCACAAATGTTGGTTAGTAGAAGGAACAGAAGAGTGATGTCAAACGTGTTAGAATCTGGTATCCTTCCAGGGGGGAACAGTTTTCCCCACTGATGGCCATTTAGTACTCTTCTACGCAAAAGGTTGTGAAGAGTGTAGTAATTGGCATTGAGACTAGAAGACAAGTTGGCAGGTGGGTGATGCCGATCAAAAATTTTCCTCAGTACTGTTGTTCCACCATCGATAAGGAGTCTGTTTAGCTTGCTTCCATTTGTCTTCTCTCTTGAGCTGGCCAGAGGTGAAGGTTCTGCATTCGCCATTCAGCAACCTTGGTGCAGGAGAAAATGTTTACGTCTTGAAAATTCATTCTTAACCTACGTTGACAAGAATAAATATAAACGTGAGTCACACCACAACCATCAACTCGCTCCGTCATTGTTTTCATTTGTTTTGTTTATTTTCATGATTACAAGACCATGAAACTGACAATTCTGGGAGTATGACTGGAATGACTATTATAAGAATTAAAACCAATGCCTTCAAGAAGGGGGTTTAACACATTAGTTGTCGAGGGTATTTAGTCAACACAACAGTTATATTTACGATTGTGGACGATTTGAGATCCTTAACTGAGCGCATTAGCATGATCCAAGAGCAAATGAAGTCTCAAAGTTCCGCTTTACTAGACATTAGGGAGTAATAGTTGCTTCAGTTACAAGAGACACGGCTTTCTCTTTGTTCATAAAAGCAAATACTTTTTTAAAATGACTTCCAAAGTATTTATGCCTTTTTACTGCCAGGTCGTTCGTTAGAACCAAGCATTATACCATATTATACATTATCGGGTTTCTATCTTGAAGCAAACTGAATGAACAATATTTCTGAATATTGGTCTATTGAATTTCAAAGAGAACGATAGTGAAAAGACTAATCTAGCTAAGCAACACAACAATGTGCAAAACAAATGTGGAAACTGACGACAGCGCAGGCATGGGGCTTAGCAATTTTCTCATATCTGCGACATTCAATAAGTGAATTAAATGAGAACACTCTGGTCGTCATCATAATCATATTGCCTGTAGCATTTTCAGTGTTGAAGTACGGTAATCCATATTGCAGATGTTTAAGCTATGATTTAGCTTTCACTGCCAATTAAGTCATTATTTGACTATGTACACTCAGAATCAATTTGACCACTGGCTTGTCGTTCACTTGTAAATTCTTTACAAGTTTTCTGACAAACGCGCTGCTTGTTGATCTGTTGTTTCCAAAAGCATTTGGGCCGTATTGTGTCATATCCCGTGTCATATGAAAGGCTGTCATACAATGGCTGCCGCTGGGTTATCAGTAAACCGCATCAGTTTTCGACGCGCATCATACTCTACGTTTATCGACAAAGGAAAGCTAAGAAAAGCATAAACTTGAAGACATCTTCAATACACAGAAAAGCTGGGGGTCTCCTGCCTCGGGTTTCTTGAAGGCGGAAATATTGAGATGTCTTCTAACTAGGATCGCAAAGAAAGCAAAGAATATTCTTTCGCTCGATATTTTCAATTTTGGTCATGACTTCTACTTAATATCGAGCACATGAGCTAACGGCGACAGAAAGCTTGGGTCATTATAACTTTCATTGAGCAATTCGCTAGAAGCTAGCTAATAGAGCTTAAGAGCCGGGAAATTTAAGACCAATTGTAATATCTGCTATTCGTTCTCATGCTCTCTGCTGAAATTTTTCTAGAAACTTGGAAAGGTCTGAAAGTTACAAGATGTTAGCGTCGATCGGAAGTTTTTTCAGAATCCCAAACGTAACAGAAGTAATCTTAACAAAACTGCACTACATTGTGAAAGTGAAACATCGAGGTGGATACACTTAGATGCCTCAATAAATGCCATGTGAAACGATCTGTGGGGTACACGAGGCCCTGAAACTATATTTAATAAACTTACATTTCTGCTGCCAAATTCTTTAGAAAAGCTTCTTTCTTGTAGATCCCTCGACATGTTTCATAAAGAAACAAAGTGTCCTAAGTGACCTGGCCCACCGATGCGCCGATGAATCTCAAATTTAGACAGTATGTGTACGACAACCTCTTGTTTGCATTTGAATTTGCATACACTTATGTCGTTAGACTGTTTCGAAAACTTTGCAATTGAAAAGGGAGTGTCATTTCCGTTTTGCGTTAATGAGTACCAATCGGCAATCGCTTATTTATAATCCAACAAATGGGGGGCAACGAGAGATGCACGAGGGAGGCACGCCACACAGGCTATCTCATTCCCTTCAACAGAGCTGTAGCTTAGAGAAGCTGCGCAGGAGTACGATAACTTTAAAAAATAAAAAAGGAAAGAAGAGAAACAACAGCAAACAACAGTCAATCACTAGTCTGCATAACAAGCGTCAAAGGGGTAGAGAATAGGGAAGAAGGGAAAAAAGGAGGGGGATTGGGGAGAGAGATAGAGGACGTTTCTCCCTCCCCTTCCCCTCCCCTTTTTGCGCCTTTCACGGTCTGGCTCAAGAGCTTTAATAAACACTGGCAACCAAGGCTCTTAGTGAGTTCTTTGAAATTTTCATTTTTTAAGAGAATTTGTGAGAACAAAGAAAATACATTCTAAATAGAATTGAAAATATTATGACTCATAGTTTCGACACTGTTTTGTGTGTTTTACAGCCAGTTCGCTTTTAAAGGCATTTCGAAGTGCTTTGGCGAGTTTAGATCTTGAGATGTTTTGAAAAAGAGGAATTTAGAACTTATTTCCTTTGTTCTAAATTATTTTGGGCTCCTGCCATAGTTCCTCTGCCACCGACAAAAATGTCCCCATCTCCACCCCTATAAACAGCAAAACCGAAATAGTTCCAGTTTCCTTCGTCCGATTTGGAACGCCTGGCAAAACGCTGTCAATCGTGCTCCGTTCACGATGCCCGTTGATAACAAGAGAATTGCAGGTCCTGAAATAACGCAGCCAGTTGTTTTGAGAGAAGAAAAACGCCTTCGAAAACCTCTGGTAACCTCGATCGTGTTTTTTGTATGATTTAGTGTCTAGAAGGTGTTAAATTGAAGAGCTTTTGTTGTAGATCAGCAGCGAGGGTCAGCGACAAGATGGCCGCAAAGCGGACGAGCTGCGTCCCATGTGTAAGTTGCTTTGTTCTCTAAGAACATCATTCATTAAAGTTTGAAAACAATTTAACTTTAAATTTTTTAAAGATTACGTTATAGACATTAAACGCAAAATTGAATCAACACTACTAAAATTTGTTGCATTGTTTTAATTGAAAAAATTAAAATAGAATGTTAGATTCGACTATCAGCTGCTGATCGGGAAATAAGCCCTCGCTCCTCTCTCGAGCAGTCTTCTCGGGGAGAACCGAGAGAGTGACCGAAATCGAGCCCAATAAAATATAGGAAAGTGAAAGTTTTGTCCAGTTTTTCTGACTATAATGTACATGTATGACTGAATTTGATTTCCATCTTTTTTTTCCAGTTTTGCGGTCAGGAGTGGTAAGTCAAGCAAGGGGATCAGCTTATATTGAGATGCAAAGAACCAAGGTTACATGTGCAGTGTATCCTTTTGCTGAACTACCAACAGCACATGTCACTTGAATGTTGGCTTCTTGGGGTATCAGTAAGCTTCCACTGATAAAACTGTCACTTGACCATATAAAAAGTATGGGATAATTATTTTAGAGCTTTACTCAGGGCACTTAGACCTATAATGGAAGGTTGACTTTGACCATGAGACATAAGAAGGGACCTAAAGACCTTTTGAAAGGCAGTATTTTGTCTCTAAACTTCATCTTACCTACGTGTGCCAGTTTGACTTTAACAGAAACTCAGATATGGCCCCAGAGAGTCGTCAAGACAACAAGAATTTCGTCAAAAGGTACAACTGGTAGTAGATAATGTTATATTCTTCAAAGTTTAAACTTATTCTTTATCTGAAAATTTAACTAAATTAATAATACTTATATATTAAAGATGGTGATTTTTTGGACATGCATTTGTTTTTTATAATCAGGATAAAAAGTTTAAAATTGACATGAGAATAAATTATCTTCTGAGGCAGTCCATGTTTTCTTTGTTAGGGGAAACTCACGTGTGAATTTAAATTTGCACCATTTTCTTGCTGGCAGAGAAGACAACATATACAGGTACTGACTGAGTACCACATCTTTTATTGTAGTTCTGATTATCAGTTTAGGTATTGGGATGTTGTGCTTCATTCACTTTTTTTCTGTACAATTCTGAAATAAGTTTAATTTTATTTGGTTGTCATAGTATAACCAGAAAAAACAAAACAACAACGAAAAAAAACAACAATAACAACAACAATGTGACACTGAACACCTAATGTGATAGTAATTTTTTTCTTCTGAGCTGCCTGTGTTTCTGACTGAATAACATTTCCCTTGTGTATTCACCCTGGGCATTATAATAATATTCACCATCCCGTTTCTATCATGTACATGAGCACACATCGACATTCCAGATCTAGCAGCTTGCAGGATGTTTGACACTTGAACTAAGTTTACAGGCCCTAGCTTTCACAAGTCTCATGTAGCTTAGCAGTGTAGCTCTGGCTATAGTAGCCAGAGGGTCTCCTCTTTTGGACAACTCAAATTTTTTCTTCTGAGTGGCGTACTGTCACTGACTGAATAACATCTCTAAAATATTATACATGGAGGAATGCCTGTTGTGGTCCAATTAATAAATCATGGCAAAGATTAGGCCATTCAAGCAAGCCACAAAACCAGAAAATTAAAATGTAAGCTTATGTGTAATTTTCTCATGCCCAATGTTTTCATCAGGATTCAGAAGAGAAAGAGTTTTCCTCTTTTGTTGTGCAAGCCTTGGAGCCAGCTGTTTGCCTGGTAAGATTAATTTTTCTGCTGGTGTTTGTGGTTTAATATGTTTTGTTTTTAAGAGGAAGATAAATAATGAAAGGCAAAGTGGTAGTGAAAATTTCCTGAGCTAAAAAATTAGTAAAGCCTAAACCTGAAACATTCAAATTTTGCACATCGGGCTATAAAATGAATTAATTTTAAAATATTATATTTGGCTCTAAAATTGCCCATCCAAAAGAAAGCAATTTAACATGGTTTTTTCAAGCATGGAAATTACAGCATTTTGTTGTTTAGGGTGATGGTAATCTGGCTCAGTCCTCTATAGAACTGTTGGAAGGATCTTGCTTTCCACAAAATAGGTGCCATGCAAAAAAGGGAATATGTAAAATACAATTCTGTTTCCATCATGAAAACTACAGATTTTCTGGGTAAACTGATCAAAAGAGCTTTTGAAGAAAATTTCTCCCTTTGTTAGCATTGAAAATAGTAAAAATGTTTTTTCCGCTTTATTTTACTATGCTTACTACTATACCTTTTTGGGCAGCACATACCTATCAGGCAATTATATAAGGGAGTATCCCCCGCGCGTAAAAACTTACATTAGTCTGCTTCTTCTTTCGAACTGGCAGTTAAACATGCAGTCTGCCTAGACAAAAACATGCTTCAAGTTTTCTACAAAAACACAGACACTGTAGCACAGACAGTCTGATCCGCTGTTGTTTCACTTATAGTGGATCATGTTATAGAATACACCAAAAGCGGAGTATCTAGGGCCCTTTTCAAAAAAGGAACTTGTTGTCCTTATTGAAAGTCCCCAATGTTCAGATTCTGGAGGTAGAGGAAAAGAAGACAAAACAATGGGTGATTAAAAAAGTTTCTCAATCTTGCTCTCCCACTCGGCAGTCGGAACGTCTGAAACAGGCTACCACTATTATTTGAGACGTTTACAAAGATATCACATTTGTAACATATTGCAAGGTGTATACGAGGTCTTACTCTGCCAGCGTATACAAACAAATCAGATTGGTACAATGTATGAACCTTTTTCTTGCCGTATCTGAAGTTTTGTGAATGCTGAACAACAAATTCTCCTTATAAGCATGCTCATTTTTACATTTTCCATGCTCTTAAGATGAATTGTATTAAAACATAGTGCTATTTGGAAAAGCGCAACCACTGATTTTTTTTACTGTATTAGACGGTAAATATTTATAAGGGTTTAGTTTTAAAATTTACTCAGGAGGTTTATGATATTTCAACCAAGTTGCATTTATTTACTTTACTGTTACGTTATTAAATATGCCTCTGAATGGGTATTTCCGACAAAGAAACCGAAGTGGTGACGATATGTCAAAGATTGGTAAGGCAACCATCTTAGAGATTAAAGCGACGATTGCTACCTTTTCAATTAAGTTTGAAAATGTTAGTCTGGCATGATATATGCACTTTCAAAAATTTTTGTTTTGGTTTAATATTTTCCACTTTTCTTCATCGATGTGGTGCTCTGACCTCGCTATTAGCCATAGCGTTACAATGCAAAATAATTAATTCCAGTAAAGGCCACTATTTCGCCTGAAAAACTGATGGATGAAAAAACAACGAGCAACAAAATAGATGTCGGCAGGTGCCCATACAGAGGCTCTATAGTGATACTTGATGTGACAACAGGAATGTCATATACTTGCCATTCTACGCTGTAATTGAATGGTTTCAATTGAAATTTAGGCATGCACATTCATTTAAAAAGAAACACAAAATGAGATTGTTAGATCTACGATTAGACTATAAGGCTATAAAGGTGATCAGAGATTTACACTTAAAATGTATAATATATTGTTGAGTTTTGTCGATTGTGGTCCTAGGCCTTATCATGGTGGTTTCACATTGCTTTTGGTCCCAAAAATTATGTGAAAGGCATGGACATGATACTGTATAAAAATGAGATTATTAAACTCATATCGTGCCTGCAACATCATGCATGTACATCCGTTAAAATTTGTCACTTGTCGGTTCATGTCATTTTTACTCTCGCTTAATTAAGTCAAAATTTGTCAGTGAATTTGTCGGTACTGACAAACCGACAAAATTTGTCAGTTGTCGATTCATGTCAGTTGAACTGTCGCATAATTAAGTCAAAATTTGTCAGTGAATTTGTCGGTCCTGACAAACCAGCAAAATTTGTCAGTTGTCAGTTTGTCAGTTCATGTCAGTTGAACCCTAGCTTAATCAAGTTAAAAGTTGTCAGTGAATTTGTCGGTACTGACAAACCGACAGAAAT